GAGAGCCAAAAAGTGAAATGTGTACCGTGCCGAGTGCCCCCACTTGCCCTCCCAAAATACAGTATGCAACCTCGATTTTTGTTTGTTTCCGAAATAAAATGTGAAATAAGAGAGCCTCCCCCTCCTCTTTCTGCACAACTACAGAACATTCATTTTGTTACATGGAAATCGATAAAGAGTGTTCGATTACATGCCTGATAAGATATGATTTTATTATGATATACATACTTATGTATACTATATGTATGTGTACATATGTGCTATAGGCAAAGCCTTACACACACACACACATGCAAGTATGTACTATGTACCATTTGGGGCGGTACAAAAGCTGTAACTGACGATGATGTTGATAATGATGACGATAACTGGTATCAAAGTGTGTCAAAGAGCAGCTGCCAATGGAAATGGGAAATTATAAATCAATTTCCAGGCCTTCGGGGCGCTCTCTGATCACACAGCGATAAGATTGTCGGGGCAGGCAAAAGAGTTGAGCTGACCAGGCAGGCAGGGGGCTTTAGCATAATTACACGACACACGATTCGAAGGGGAAGGGAAGGGAAGGAAAGGGAAAAGGAAAGCCTAAACGTAAACGTAGGCATGGAAAGGGCAACTTAAGCGGCTTACTAGAGACTACATATAGTGGAGACCCTGTAGTTTGCCGCCCAATGCATCACGAGTGACGTATGTGTGTGTCTGTCTGTGTGCGCTCCTACGTGATGTTTTAATTAAAGCAACAAAGACACAGACGACGACTGTCCGGCCGGAGTGTCGCCAGGCAGCACAGGCCCCTGCCCCCCACCACAACTATCGGTCATTAACTTGGCTCGGGGCACGCGCTTATACAACTATACCTAAAACACAGTCAAGTCTGCCTAAGCTGAAAGACTTGAGAAGAAAGAAAACACCTGAACACAAAAGAGATAGTTTCCAGTCCAGATTCCAGGATAGAAGCATCTGTGGTGTTCACAATTTTGAAAATAGAATGCTCAATTTTGGTAGAATCCTATCTATAGCTTTTATTTACCTATCTACTGGTACATATGTATGTTTATTTGATGTATCTGCAGGTTTGACTGTACATAAATGTCCCGCCATGTGGTAGACAAATACACAGGTCTGTAAGTATTTAGTTCTATGATGTTATATGGCAACAAGTCGGGGCTTAAAAGAGTTTGATTGCTGGACAAACTCAGCGCACATTGAGTTTTATTCGCCAGAGTACATACATACACATGTACATATGAATATACATATCGACCCCAAAGACCATTCAATTTAACGAAGACAAACGAGTAGTTTGCATGACCACCACGACAAAGGCACGACAAAATAGGGAATTCGTTATCCTGGGAGTGGTACCGTAACCGCAACGGCAACCGCATTTAATTGCGGCAATCAAATGGGTTTTTCGGGGCGTGGCCACCTGGGAAATTTGCCGCTGCCTCGCCATACATCATTTCACTTGGCCTTTAATTTGACACATGATGTGGCAGAAGCATTTCCTTTCCCCCTTGCCCCAAACACCGTATTCCCATTTTCTTATTTGCAAAATGGCCGACACCGTCGCCGCTTCTAACTGTTGTCTAACAAAATGGCCGCCCTGTAGCTTCCGCCTCGCCATCCTGCTCGCACTGCCCCCCCACGCCCCTACACAAAAAGTTCATTGGTATCTGAGCGGCATTTTTCACTTGTTCTGGCAAATGACTTTGGCCACATGCTGCGACTCCTTAACAGCTCCCGCCCGATGGGGAAAAGTCACTAAGCTGGGACTAAGTTGGTCGCTTTTCCGCTGCCAGCGTTGCCTTTGCTTTGTCCTTTGGCATCCTGCGACGACAACGGGCTCCCTGCTTGTTGCTCTGCGCAACTTTCGCATTATGAAATTGTAAATTGTGCCCCAAGCCCAGCCCCTTGCCAGAGGGAGAACAAGAAATTTACACTGTGCAGCCAGGTAGGGGATTATTCCAACCCACACATGATGCGACACACTGCACACACTCTACTCAAGATTCGCTAATAAGAGATTTTTATTTATTATTACATTATTTTTTTACTCTGCCCTTACACTCTCCGTAAATAGAACTCGCACATCTTGTTGGATAGTGCTAGTACGCATCAATCCTGTCAGGGCAGGGCAGGACGGTCCGAATGGTGGGAAGGAAAAACGTTTTAGAAAAATCGCTTTGCAGTTGGGAGAGGAAAGGAAAGAAAACAGCAAACTTTTCACCCCCTTGCAACGAATTTTCTCCATTTGATTTCTGTGTCTGTGACTGTGTGTGTGTGTGTGGGGCAAAAGGAATTAAAATCTTATCTTTTGTTCAAAGTTTTTGCGCATTATTTATTGAAGGAAATTCGAACGGAACTACGTTCTATTCCGAGTAGTTGGAGTACAAGTAAGTTATGTTCCCGTTCTCCATTTTCCTGAGACTTAGCCCACAATTTTATGTACATATATTTGTTGCAAAAGGTATATTTATTTTGCAAAATATATATCTATTAATGTTGCTCGTGACAGCTAGGATGAGAGACTCGCTCAGAGAGGATCTCGTAGAAGCGAAATGACACATCTTCAATCCTATCCAGGCATTATTCTGGGACCATCATCCACATTAACGTCCAAGTAGTCGAAGATGGTGCACCTCCATTCTCCATCTAAGCTTATTTTGATCATGAACATATAGCTGCCTTTGGGTATGGGCACCTTCTTAAACATTTGATCATCCAAAACGAAATTCTTCAGAATAAGGTCATGCTGCGAGAAGCAAAATGAGAGTCAATATTGTGGAGAGGTTATTTGGGCCACTCACATTGTAGGGGCACGTGTGATTCACGTTGATGAATGGCAACATGGCACCGTAGAAGTAGTAGAAGACGGTCAACGGATTCGGGTGCTTCATGTAGTGGCAAAGGTCCACGGTGACGTTAAATAGGAACGGATGGTAGCCGGATAATTTCTGCCACACACTGTAGTTTATTTTCACCTTCCGAATTGGTAGTTTGTTGAATTTAATGTGGACATTGGCTCCGATAATGCCACGCCCCAGCACATTCAGGCGGCAGACACGCGTCTCTGCATACAAAGGATCAAGTATTTCGCATTTGATGTTTGTATGCCGTGTACTGATATCACCGAATGCCATTACAGCACTTGCAAGGAGCACCGAAATCACTGAGAACTTCATTGGAGAAGTGTTATTCCCAAAATGAATTAAGCTATTTATTTTCGCGTTTTTCCGTATCATTAGCTACGTGCCAGATCATTGCCTCATGATCGAATATCTGAGATTTTAGATAAATCGTATATTGGCATTTTCGCCGAATGGTCAACCTGGACCGAAAAATAAAATGTTCATAATTATCGTAATTTTTTGTGTATACTTATATAGAAATGTCCAAATTTGCATAATACAATGGATACAATACCATAGCATGTATCAGTGGTTTTCATGAGGAAATTTTCCTGAAAACTGAAAGAATGTGATTGCTTCACTTTTAGCTACTTTTGAAGGCACTTCTATATTTAATTATTTCGCATGCATAGCATATGTTATGTTTGCACTCTTTCTACCAAATCTCTTTGTTGTAATCTATGAAGTTCAATTAACGGTTAATTTTTATGGTGCTTCTTATCTATGTTCGAATCGTACGTTCGCGACCGAAAACATAATTTTATTGTAATTGCTTCGCATTGAATGCAATCAGGTGGCTAAAACTATATGTGTTAAGCAAGTTTGGTGTAACTGATATAAATCAAAAAAAAAATTTGGTGTTACTATTAACTAAACTTTTTATTTTGATTTTCAAAGTAGCGTACGTTTGCGACCGTAGGCAATGTTTTTATATCCATACTCAAAAGAGAATTAAGGGGTATATTGTATTTGTGGTAAAAGAGAAAGTATATATATATTCTTGATCAGCATCAATAGCCGAGTCAATATAGCCATGTCTGTCTGTCCATCCGTCCGTCTTGTTGAGCGCCTAATCTTATAGACCATATCTACCAGATTGCCGAATCTGAATCAGATCGGTACATAATTACAGCCAGAATGAAGAAATTTCAGTTTCTTCCCACACCTCCTCCAGCAAGAGACCCGCTACTCATTCTCTTTCTCGCTCGCACATTCTGCCTCGTTATGTACGCGAGGGCTCGATAGCGGAGAAAATGTAGAATATACATTGTAGTTGTAGATAATGTAAATGTAAAATTTTTAAAAATTCAACATAAATCATAAGCTCAAAAATGTATATACTGACTGAGTACGGGTATAAAAGTAGAGTCATGTCCACAGAAGCGACTCACACGTTCCTTCTCGTTTCAATTATTTTTAAAACACTCGTTGAACCCCATCATTTGCACTAAGCATAGGACCAACAAAATGCTATTGAAACGCAAAAAAATTTGGGAGTTTTTGTTTTCTATCTTTTTTGTGCATTAAAAGTGTGTGAACGATTTATCCAAAATCTTTGACTTGATGTTGGTATGTCGGGTACTAATGTGTCTCCAAGCCAAAGATATTCAAAAACTCACCGTTAGCAGGGCGAACTTCATGGTTTATGGCCTCCTCGATATAGCATTTTTTTAGTGAATTTTTTAACGCCAAATGATAATTAAGAATCGTTTAATCGATTGAATATTTCAGAATGCACTCAACTGTCACTAATATTTCCTCATTTCCTCACCTATAACTCTCTGTCCAATACGAAATGGGACATTGTAACTGTCATTGTCACTGACCTTTGGCAAGGGCACATTGGCACTCCACTCCAAGGCCTCAGGATTTTAAGGATTCTATTGAGTTTGTTACTGATCCTAATGAGATTTTATTTCATTTTTAGCAGGAAAGGTGCAATGCAACCCTAAAACCTCAGCCTCAATCCCTGTACAAATACAAAGTATGCCACCCTCAACAGACGAAGGAGGGTGGGTGCAGCATCCAGCTGTGATGGAAAAAGCAGGAGAGCGCCGAGAGCTTCATAGTTGGAAAAATAAAACTAAAATCCTATCCCGACTTGATACTTGGACCATCATCCACATTAATGTCCATATAGGAGGAAATAGTCCCTCTCCAGACATCCTCGGTGATGAGTTTGATCATAAACATGTAGCTGCCCTTGGGCGCGGGTACTTTGGAGAACATTTTTTCTTCCAAAACGAAATTCTTCAGAATAAGGTCATGCTGCAAGAAGCAAAATGAGGAGCGTCAATCACATGGGGATAACGGGGGATGTGTGCTCTTCTCACATTGATGGGGCAAGTGTGATTCATATTAATGAAGGGCAACAAGGCACCGTAGAAGTAGTAGAAGACGGTCAACGGATTCGGGTGCTTCATGTGGTGGCAAAGGTCCACGGTGACGTTAAATAGGAACGGATGGTAGCCGGATAATTTCTTCCACACACTGTAGTTTATTTTCACCCTCCGAATCGGTAGTTTATTAAATTTAATGTGGATATTGGCTCCGATAATGCCACGCCCCAGCACATTCAGGCGACAGACACGCGTCTCTGCATACAAAGGATCAAGTATTTCGCATTTGATGTTTGTATGCCGTGTACTGATATCACCGAAAGCCATTAAAGCACCTGCAAGGAGCACCGAAATCACTGAGAACTTCATGGGAGAAGTGTTATTCCCAAAATGAATCAATATTTCCGATCGCAGGAAGGTATTTATTTTCCCGTATTAATATCATTAGCCGCGTGCCAATTCAATGCCAAAACTTATAATTGATGCTCGTATTGGGTACTAATGGTCACCAAGCCAAAGGTATTAAAAAAATTAGAGGGAACGTTGTGAGTCGCAGTGTTCGCGACTCAATTTTATAACCGTTCTTAGTCAGTATACATACAGTGCTCCATCGCATAATCGTACACTTGTTTACTCAGTACAAATGTGCTCAAAAAGTATATAGTAATGCGATAAAATTGTTGTTCTTTAACTTTTACAATAACTTCATAGTATTATCAATCTAAATCATAAACAAAAACTCATAATTTTTAGTATGAACAGTTAGTTTAATTCGAAAAACGAACTTAAGTAATTTTTGGACAGTTCAGAAGTTCCAATGGTAAATCCCGCGCACTGAACGCGGCAGAGTGTGCGAGCGAGAAAGAGAATGAGTAGCGGGTCTCTGGCTGAAGTAGGCAGGGGAAGCAACTGAAAATTCATTTCTTCATTCTGGCTATAATTATGATCTGATCTGATTCGGCAGTCTGGTAGGTATGGCCATTCTCTACGATACTACGTTTTCAGTTTTATCGTATCTTTAAAAACCAAATTTGGTTGCCCTATCTCTTATAGTCTCTGAGATCCAGCCGACAAACAAGACGGACGGACGGACAGACAGACATGGCTATATCGACTCGGCTTTTGATGCTGATCAAGAATATATATAATTTAAGGGGCCGGAAACGTTTCCTTCTGTGCGTTACACATATCCACATTGACCACAAATCAGAATCAACTTCTTGGTAGTAGGGCCTCTTCGGTAATGGACTTTTTTTAAGTCAAATGATAATTAAGAATCGCTTAATCGATTACATCTTTCAGAATTCACTCAACTGTCACTAATATTTCCCAAATACAATCATTTCCTAACCTATAACTCTCTGTCCAATACGAAATGGGACATTGTAACTGTCATTGTCACTGACCTTTGGCAAGGGCACATTGGCACTCCACTCCAAGGCCCCATAAATGTGAGGATTTTAAGGATTCAATTGAGTTTGTTACTGATCCTAATGAGATTTTATTATATTTTTAGCAGGGAAAGGTGCAATGCAACCCTCACCTCAAACCTCAGCCTCAGCCTTAACCCCTGTACAAATACAAAGTATGCCACCCTCAACAGACGAAGGAGGGTGGGTGCAGCATCCAGCTGTGATAGAAAAAGCAGGAGAGAGCCGAGAGCTTCATAGTTGGAAAAATAAAACTAAAATCCTATCCCGACTTGATACGTGGACCATCATCTACATTAATATCCAGGTAGGAGTAAATAGTGCCTCTCCACACATCCTCGGCGATGAGTTTGATCATGAACATGTAGCTGCCCTTGGGCGCGGGCACTTTGGAGAACATTTGTTCTTCCAAAACGAAATTCTTAGAATAGGTCATCTGCAGAAGCAAAAGGAGAGCGTCAATCACATGGGGATAACGGGGGATGTGTGCTACCACATAATGGGGCAAGTGTGATTCATATTAATGAAGGGCAACAGGCACCGTAGAAGTAGTAGAAGACGGTCAACGGATTCGGGTGCTTCATGTAGTGGCAAAGGTCCACGGTGACGTTAAATAGGAACGGATGGTAGCCGGATAATTTCTTCCACACACTGTAGTTTATTTTCACCTTCCGAATTGGTAGTTTGAGGATTTTAATGTGGACATTGGCTCCGATAATGCCACGCCCCAGCACATTTAGGCGGCAGACAGGCGTCTCTGCATACAAAGGATCAAGTACTTCGCATTTAATGTTTGTATGCCGTGTACTGATATCACCGATTGCCATTATAGCACTTGCAAGGAGCAACGAAATTACTGAAAACTTCATGGAAGAAGTGTTTTCCCAAAATGAATCAATATTTCTGATCGCATTTTTTCTCGTATTTATATCCTAAGCAACGTGCCAGTTCGTTGACTCTCGGTTGAACTGCTCGTATTAAATAATAGATAAAAAACCAATCATAAATCAATTATATATTTTATGATTTATTCTCTACTTTTCAGTATAAATTTGTTTACAATTTCCCCCCACTTTAAAGCGATGTTTTCCTGACCGTTTTTTTGGGCTGTACTCCACACAGCGGAGCAGATGCCTCGCTGCGCTTTGACAAACACAATAATCCACAGACTGTAAAAATATGGATTTAATTTCATTTTCCATATTTTATGGCCCTCCAAAAGGGAAATGAGAAATAGTTCTCCGCAGTGCTAATGGCCAGTTGTTAAACTTTCGAATTGATCTATGAATTTCACAGTCGAATGCCATGCCTTGCCCCATGCCTCTCCCTTGTTTCACTTTCCCCATCTGAAGTTCGTTTGATGTTTCGCTTTCGAGAATGGAAGAGCTAGGAACGCTCCCTAGAACCGTGTATAAAACGCAGTGTCAAAGAGCGCTGGAGAATGTATATTTATGATTTATCGAAAGCATATGCGGTACCTCCTCTACAGGAAGTTCCCCTCAAATCCCACTCAAATGGGGGAGTTTTTTCCCAATTATTATTAGCATTTTACTATCGCTGGAGCATGTTTTGAATAGTTCTTTAGCGTTTGTGTGCATCTAAAGAGATCAGAACAGATCCCATCCCCCGCCTGCAACATATGAGAACGAACCAGAGACCGAACAATGACAGATGTCCCCGAGAACAGCTGTCCCAGAGTCCTGTGGGATGTGCCCTGCAGTCAGGTTCAATTTATGGCCGTTTTTGACTGCTGTCAGAGTCAAGGATTTGAGTGGGAAAGTCGGGAAACTTTAGCTTGAATATGTAGTATTTGTTATAATTAAACCGAAATTAGGTTGGAAGCCAAGGCGGAAGTTCAACAGCTGTGCCGTAGGTGCCTGAAGAGCAGAGCGCAGAGAGCGAGAAAGAGAGACAGTAGTGGGCTCTAAAAATAACAGAAAATTTAAAATTAATGTCTGCCCTTCTGCCCATCTGACACTCCGCCACTGACTTATGTGTGGGTTAAGTGCTGCTGACAGATTTTGACACATTATGCCAATGATAGAGAGGGACAGGACACACACATACATCCATTATTCAGTTAGATAGAAGCAGAGACTGGGAGCATTCGCTGTTCAATGACTACACTATCCAACATATAGCATATAGCATTTTATAGATATGTACATATACACAACCTTTTATATACAAAAAAATCGAGAAAATCCTGATTTGTTGTTTAAATAAAATATCAGTATTATAATCAATTATTTTAGAAGCCCAAAAAAAATATTCGATTTTGTTTGGTGGTTACTCTCAAAGCAAAGAAAAAGAAAGAGAGAGAGCATAACTTTACTTTAATTAACAATTGTTGTTTGTTGTTGCTGTTTTTGTTGTTGTTCTTTCAGACACAGCACAGAACCAACAGAAAGAGAGCGAGAGAGATGGGCAGAGTAACAGCTGCTGTGGCCTGCCAACTTTTCCCAAACAATATTTTCCATGTTTTTGTTTCTGTCTGTTGCTGCCTTTGGTGGTTGGGTTGCCTAACAAATTAATTTCATATTATGTTTGCTGCCGCTTCCTCCACCTCCTCCACACCTATTATCACTCTCCGCTCCCCCTATATGATGTAGTCCTGTATAACAGTTAATTTGGCTCCGGTTACATGTGAGAGTGTACGCATATGTGTCCGTCAAACCTCCTTCCCAACAATTTCCAATTGAAATTAATGTTTTATGGTTTCAGTAGAGACCACACACACACACACAGACAGACAGTCAGTCGTACCATAAAGAGAGATAGTTAGATACATAGATAGTCAAAGAAAGAGATGGTTAGATAGAGAAGTGATAGACGGAGAGCTGGAACAACAGCTGGAGGAAACGTTTTGTGCCTTCTTCTAATGCCAATTTGCTATTGAGTTTCCTGAAAGTGACAAAAGAAAATACCAATCCTCTTCTTTCGTTCTCCCTCTCTCTCCACCCTCTTCTATTCTCTGGCTCTTTGTCTCGCCTTTGGCCACGGCAAATTGGACATTCTTCTTCAAATTTCCTGTTTATGCTCCATAAAATCCATTGATGCGTTTAATATTGGCAACTTGGCCGTTCCGTCCGTCTGTCTGTCTGTCTGTCTGTCCTGTCCGTCCGTCTGCCTCTTTGATGGGGCGCTGCGCAAAGGAAGTTGCAGAGGAAGGAACAACGTGCCATGTACGTGGTCTGGGATTCAAATTGATTGTTGGGGTATGCACGGAGTTGAGGAAACGTCTGGCATTTGGATAGCTTCCACAGTTTTTTTCTCCATCAGCTTTTCCCTGTTTGAGTCATCGTCGATGGCTCACAGCTGTTGAATAATCGCATTTTTTCTTCCTTAAAATCTTTAAGTATCCAAAAAAGAGCAAAGCTCCAATCTTTGGAGCACTTATGACACCCGCAGTAGTTCAGATACATAATTTAAATATCAGACCTTGCTTCCATCGCTCTCACATTACGTGTCACATTGAAGCTTGACTCGGAACGCACAAGCGAATGATGCAAAAGAAAATTATCGTGAATTGTAAAAACCAACATACATGACGTGTGCATGATGCGGTACATATATAATTCTAGTTTGGATTGGATTTTAGATGCTGCACTTAAATTCAAAAAGGCTGCTGCCTCCAAACATTTTTTGAAACAAATTTTGGCACAGATTCGGCAGCTTCAAGTCTAACTCTGAGATTTTTCTATCCACTATCCACTAATTTGATGCATTTTTTTTATAATTATGCAATCACAAGTATGGTTTTGCAGTTCAAGGAAAGAGAGAGAGAGAGAGAAAGAGATAGAGAGAGAGGGGGATTTGCAAATGCAACATCATAATTATTTATTTTTAATTTGTTTCGCATATCAGTTCAAGTGGGCTCCGACCCGCCGTGAGTCT